TTGTAGAACTGTTGATAGACTGAAACTTGATTTCTTATAAAAATTACATCTTTCTTCAACTACATCACTTCTGCTATTGTTTAGAGAATGATTTTGATAAGTGGGTCTGTCGGGTTGTGTGCTGATGTAAAATTAACAATATTCTTATATTAAATAAAATTGTTTTTATTTCATTTATTGTATTTAATTATTGAGCATGTGAATTAAAGTGTATATGATAATATAAGTTGGATACGAATGTCACACAACTTATATTTTGATCATGAATAATTTGTTCACTACCTATGTATAAGGGCTGACACCTTGTACTGAAAGGTTGTAACGTTGTTTGATTCACTATTCGGGTTTGTGATTCGTCGTTACTAGTCTACTTGAAGTGTATTGAACGAACCACGTGTCGAGTTTAATTCTATAACATGATCATGCGGAGAATTGAATTTCACTTGCTCGCTGCGTATTTTATCTAAATCTTTTGATAGAGTTATGTTTATCTTTTCGTGATTTTAATGGTTCTTTGATTCATCAATTGGCGAGATCAATTTAATTGATCAAGTATCTCGATGAGTTGAGAACTTGAGAATGAGCGAACTAGAGTACATGAATTCGTGTCGGGAATCGTTGCCCTAAAAAATGGGTAGTGACTACTTAAGTATTTTATGTTGAACGGTTAAAATTTGAGCTCAGTAATTAGCGACGGTTAAATTTCAACATCTATGATGTGTTTACATGACCGTTCAAGAAAATAGTACTTAAATTAATGAGAATAATTAGAGGGTGCAAAACGGTCTTTTATGCTCGTGCCTAATTATCGAATCTCGAACGGGGATAAAATAAATATATGGCAAGTCAGAGAAAAATATTACAGATTTATTGGCTTATGTGATCTTATATATTTCGAGAGTTCAGTCTTTTACATTTAGTGGAAAGCGTAAAAACTAATAATTAGATTGAGTGGTCTAGGGTCTACTAGACATGATCTAATTATTGAATTTTGGAAAATATATGTCCGATTAGATTCATGTGGTAGCTCTATGAAGTAATGGAACTTAATTACGGTAATTATAATAGTTTTGGACTTAATTGTAATTACAATAAAATTTTGTACTTGTAATTATTATAAAAGTTGTAACTTAATTGTAATTGAAGTTCTAGGACTACACATGTAATTAAATATAAACTAATTGGATTTGGACTTTAGTTAAAACTCCTATTTGGATTTTAATTAAGACTCCTAGTTGATATTGGAATTATTATTCTACATAGATTGGAACATCTTTTATCTTTATAAATAGAGATTAGATGGACATAAAAATCGTACAAGAATCATAATACATAATTCCATAGTGTTCAAATTTGGAGAGAGAGAGAGAGAGAAAAAGTGAGAAAATCATATTTTCTTATTATATAATCCAAGAATTAGTTTCTTAATTTAATTAAAAGAAGGTGCCCACCCACAAGTGTAGTCGTTGACTTTGGAGAATACCATAGAAGATTTAGAGGTTTGAAGTATCAAGTTCTTACAATTAAAAAATTGGAAGCTCGTGATCCAAAAAGTTGAAAGTTCGTGATTCAAATCTAGTTCTAGAATTGATCATCAAATTTAGGTAAAAATTTGAATACCTAATTCTAGATATAACATACACGTAAACATCTAGACGATCTTATTTATTGAATTAAATATTTTTCTTTAATTTCTGGATAATTTTGCTTCCGCATTCAAATAGGTCGTGTTTTATATTTCATTCATCAAGATTGGTTGACCAGCAATGGCAGCAGCACTACTCTCCAAATTGTACTAATATGATTGTTTTCTGGGGGGTCTGTGTGTTTATATTTTATTTCTTGGGTGTTAGGGTTGTGGTTTGGGGTAATGACACATATTCGAGGTTCACATTATTTTGCAAGATCACTTCTTTTCTTTTTTAATTGAATAGATAAACGTGTACCTACTTGACAGTGGCATATTAGTAGTAAATGTTTAATCACGTTATATTAGTAGTAAAGGTTTAATACACGGTTTAATGTGATTAAACATTTACTGCTAATATGCCACTGTCGGGTAGGTCGCAATACTTTGTAGCTTATTGTTTGATTTGCTGAATAGGGTTTTCATAATTCAGTTTCTGTTGGTCGAAATTGTTTCATTAGGTCAAGGTCAATGCTAAAGCAGAATATAGTTGGATACTATAAGACATTGGTGCTTATGCTACTGTGTTGTGTTTCACCCTTATGTTTAAGATAGCACATGGTGTTATTGATTTCTATAATGTTATTTATTTATTTATTTTTACTCATTTTTCTGTTGCAAGTGATATAGCTTACCCAAATCTTTCACTAATTTTGGGTTAGGAGATATAATGTATGTGTACACTGCACTTTGTTCGTCAATGGTATCATGACTCCTTTTGCATTTTGAAGTTAAACAGAATATTATATTGCTATTACAATACCAAGTATTCTCTATCTAAACTTGTAGGGACATTCACTGCAGAAAACAGGTTTAGCTGCTCATTGATATTACCTTTGATTTACAATAATATGCCAATGGTTCTGCTCATATTTTACTTCTGTACCAAATATCTCAGGGGATTATGTCAGAAAGAAAACTAACTGGATATGGTGTTTTTGAGGAAACCTTTGGGGTTTCGTGTCATGCAGGAAGTTTATAATTGATAATAAGTATCTCTAAAGCAAACCACTTGATGGATCAAGCAAAGTTGAATTCGAGAACTCGTTGCTCGGGCCCCACACCATCTGAGGAATCAGCTATGGACCTTGAAAAGTACTGTTGCAATCACTCTTGTCGGCCTTCATTTAGTCCACCATCACTTCAACCCCATGCTTCTGCTGGACAACATGGTGAGAACAGTGCTGCATACTTTTCATGGCCTTGTCGAATAAAAGATGATGCTGAAGAGAGGGCAAATTACTTTGTTAACCTACAGAAAGAGGTTTTGCTTGAGTCGCTTGATGGCCAATTTCCAGAAGGTCAGCGTGCCAATACATTGCTTGAGCTCATGACTATTAGGGCATTTCACAGCAAGATCTTGCGTTGTTACAGTCTTGGCACAGCAATTGGTTTTCGAATTCGACGTGGCGTTTTGACTAATATACCAGCAATACTGGTGTTTGTATCACGGAAAGTCCACAAGCAGTGGCTTAGTCCAATCCAATGTCTACCAACTGCTTTGGAGGTAACAACTAACAACAGAGATGCTCATGCTTTCCAATATCTGTCCTCTATTTCTACAAAGTTTTTATTCTTTTCTGGTAAAACAACTCAAGTAGGGAAGGGTTAATTCTGAAATATTGTCTCTCCTCTTGACTCTCTATCCTACTCTCTCATTTTTGATAATAGTTTTCACTCGTCTTATCCATGTCATGGATTTACATGCCAAAGACACCAACTATTATTGCCCCCACCCACGAGGGGGTATGGCACGGTTAACTTGCAAAATATTTTTTCTGTCTGAGTTCTGATTCTTCCTGTATTCTGCTTTAAAGTTGAAATGCTATTTGCGTCTTCAGGGACCAGGAGGGGTGTGGTGTGATGTGGATGTAGTGGAATTTTCATATTTTGGTGCTCCAGAGCCAGCGCCCAAGGAACAATTATACACTGAGATTGTTGATGACCTCAGTGGGAGTGATCTATGTCTTGGTTCAGGTTCTCAGGTATTCTGAAAATGTGTCACAACCTTCCACTTCTATGAAACCGCTAGTATATGATGTGCTTCTCTTTGCTCAATACATGGGGTTCTTCTTGGCCAAGTTAAACCATAACTCCGTAATATCTCGTCTGCAAAAATTATCATCCAAATATGGCCTTGGCATATTTCACAATATTTGAATTCATCTCAACTTCTCTCAAATTGATAAGAGTTCAAAACGTAATCTATGTGCTTTTCAATATCCTTGCTCAGATGAAAGATCTGTGCCAAAATATGATGTGTCAGATAAAGTTTCTCTAATTTGAATGTAACGGACATAGGAGTCCAATATCTGAAGCCATGTTCTTATATTTACATTTCAAATGAACTGCATGTCAATTTCGCACATGTGGAAAAGAAACGAGTACTTGCCACTGGGGAATAGGGAATTTTGCTGATCGACCTACTGACCTGAAATTTTTTCATTTCAATATTTGGGCTGTAGGATCCATATATTTATGTCAGAATATGCTTCGCATTGCTCATGTCCAAAGAGGACCCCAATCCAGAATCTGCATATTGTTGTGAACTGTGTGCATTAATTTAGGAGTAACTATGATTTATATCGAAAGTGTATTAGTCTAGAATTACTTCCTTGTTAGATAGGATTATTTCCTTTAGAGAAATATCCTCTACATGTATACATATGTATGTACCCCGTTTATGAAAAGGAATAAGATTAAGGGTTTTCCAAATCATTCAACACGTGTTCAGAGTTATCTTCTTCTGACTGAGTTAGCAATCTATGCACATTTATGGTCATCTTCAAACTGTCCACTGTAGAACTCATTTTGCCCAGAAAATTTAACCTCTTTACGGTATCTCCTAAGAAGGCAATTAAAGTAGGTTTTCTTTTTAACTTGGCAAAGACACATTATTGTAAAGTGGCCATAGCATGATCATATTATAAACAAATTATCACACTCACCCATCGGCCATTTCTTTTAGAAATTTTTTAGGAATTACTTAGAATTACTTTCCATCAGATAATTCTTTACAGTATCACTGCATTCTACCTGCAAATGTCAGGTTGCAAACCAAGAAAACTACGGGACCTTAGGTGCTATAGTGAGGAGCCAAACAGGCAATCGACAAGTTGGTTTCCTGACAAATCGACATGTTGCTGTTGATTTAGATTATCCTAATCAAAAGATGTTTCATCCTTTACCGCCAACACTTGGACCTGGTGTTTACCTTGGTGCAGTTGAAAGAGCAACTTCATTCATCAGAGATGACCTCTGGTATGGAATATTTGCTGGCATAAATCCAGGTCAGTTTTCTTCAGTATATTTGGTGATCAAGAAGTAGGTAGTGCCAGATTTTGGCATTCTCTTGGTGAGATGATGAATAGTTGAACTAGATGCAGCACTGCCCATAGATGTCAATTCAATATTCGACAATATAGATATTAAAACATTGTTCCCTCCCCCCCCCCCCCCCACCCCCCCCCCCCCCCCCCCCCCCCCCCC